ATTCGTATATTTACATCTTTCCCTGTGTTTCCAAGCAATGCTGATTTTCCTGATTTTGGGTCCCTTTTCCTGATTTTTTCTTCGAAAATTCCTGTCCTGATTCCTGATTTTTCACATGACACCGCTGCGACCCCTGGAGTTCTAATAAGAAGCATCTAATATCGAAGGCAAGAGAGGATATAGACGTTTCTGAAAAAGACAAAATATATAACTTCATAGAAAACTTTTCAAATTAGAAAAATTCATCATTCATCTATTAGTTTTCAAACTTAAAAAACTAATTGTTTTTTTTTTTATAAATTTTTCTAGTATTAGCAAATCATTTATTATTAGCTGTTGAACAAAATCAATCATGGCAGGTATGATTTATATCTATTTAATTTTCCTTATCTACTGTTTTATATTTCTTATTATTAGCGACAAGAATCAATTATTCAATTAGTTGGTGCCGGCTCAGAATATGTTCCACTTGATGAAAATCAAATATTACCACGAATTTTTTCACTTTTACCAAAATTAAATTTTTGTAATAGTTCAATTATAAATGCAACTCTTATGGTGCTTGGTAAAAGAAAATAATTTATTTTTCTTTTTGTTTTATGAAAAGTGTTTTTTTCTTTTTCCTAGGACAATACAGTAGTTGGTTAGGTCATCATCAAGAAACATTACAAAATTGTGTACATTTATGTATTAATGCATTATCAAATCCTGAATTAATTCAATCAGCTTCAATTGCTTTAAAAGAATTAACCATGGAAAATCGTATGTATATGTCAAAATATCTCAATGATATATTTCCAATAATTAAAGTAAGAATAAAAATTAAATTTTAAGAAAAAAAATTTTTTTTCTTCTTTTTAAAAGAATGTTCTTGAGAATGTTCATGTTCAACCAAATGATCGTATTCGTTGTGTAGCAATAATTGGTTATATTCTATCAGCATATGCATCAAAAATTGTTATTGATCATTTAAATATTTTACTTGCACCTGAAGTTAATAAATTACTTGCTTATTTATCTGAAACAAATGTTGATCAGGTATAAATTAATTTGAATATAAGAAAAAAGAAACAAATTCTATTGAAATAATATTTTTAGAATACAATTTTACGGAAACAAAATATTTGTACAACATTAAGTTTTATATCTGTTCTTATTACTACTATTGGCTATTGTGGTGATCAAAGTGATGTTGATGACAATGATCAACAACAAAAAGCAGCTGAAAATATTAGCGAAATACCTGAAGTGGTATGATATTAAATGTTTGTCTTTTTTCTAAGAATAATTACTAACGTGAACTTAGATAGATATTAAAATAAAAGTTTTAAGCCGGTTTTGATATTGATAATGTATTCTTCTGCGATTAGAACATGTCGATGTGCAACATTTTTGAGCTTGGGCTTGGTTGATCAAACTTTTTCAGATCCAGATTCGGAATATATTCCTAATTTCAGCGAAATATTTTTAGTCCGATGAGAGAAGTTCTCCAATTGATAAATCGATTTTGAGTCAAGACTATGTGCAGTATGTAGATCTAAGTGAACTAAGAATATCCTGAAAAGAGTTCATACCACTAGTTTATATGCTACGGAGATATTGTTCTTTTATAGTATTTTTTTAAATGAATACTGTGATAACAGAAAAGTTGGTTTTCGAATTTCGACGTGAACCTTTGAATAGAGATAGGCCTTGATGAAGAGAATTTACTATGAATGTTTCCAATCTTGTTACTGTTTCTATCGTAAGATACAACTATGATAATAGTGTATCTTTACATCGTTCATTTTAGAGCATTTACAGCTCCTTTGGCTCTACATAACGTACATAGTCTCAACTCAAAAGAAAGGACGGGGGCGTATAAGGGTCATTTTTGGGCCCTCGTCAATTTTGGTTGATTCATAGTTTACTAGATGCAGAATTTCACGAGGAATCGTTTGGTA